CACGGCTAATTTTTGATTTATTGTAGAGATGAGGTCTCGCCAAGTTGCCCAGGCGGGTCTTGAACCCACAGGCTCAGGCAATTCACTCACCTCGGTTTCCCAAAATGCTGGGATTACAGGCTGAGCCACCGAGCCCGGTCAAAACTGTTTTATATATCACCCTCTTAGGCTAGGATTAAGTAAATCTTTAAATCTGAATTTGAATGGAGAATCTGACATTTGGGAAGTGAACTCTGTCCTCAAGTCTTGACATTGTATTTTTTTTTTTTTTGAGTTGGAGTCTCTCTCTGTCACCCAGACTGGAGTGCAGTGACACTCCCAGCCACCACAGCTTCAACCTGCTGGGCTCCGGCAATCCTTCCGCCTCAGCCTTCCAAGTAGCCGGAACTACAGGCGCACGTCACCACACCCAGCTGATTTTTTATTTATTGTAGAAGCAGGTCTTGCCAAGTTGCCTGGGTGGGTCTCAAACCCGTGGGCTCAGGCAATCCTTGGCCTCACAAAGGGCTGGGATTACAGGCTGAGCCAGGGAGCCCAGCCTGACAGTGTATTCTAAACATTGGAGGAAGGAAACTTGAAGTGAACCTATTTATACCTACTCTTTCTTTAGGTTAGTTAACATATGGATAACCACCCATTACATACAGTAACTAATCACTGCCTGCTCCCACCAGGAATTTAGACTTTTTTGTTTTGTTTTGACTCGGAGTCTTACTTGTTGCCCAGGCTGCAGTGCAGTGGCACGACTGCAGCCTTGACCTTCTGGGCTCAGGCGATCCTTCTGCCTCAGCCTTCCAAGTACCTGGAACCACAGGTCTCTCCAAATTGCACAGGCTAGTCTCAAACCCCTGGACTCAGGCAGTCCTCTAACCTCTGCTTCCCAAAGTAATGGGATTACAGGTGTGAGCCACCACACCCAGCCTAGGAATTTAGACTCAAGTTGTTCAAAATCAAGTTGTTACAAAGCCTTGGTAGAATGACCCTAAATTAAGGCAGGCGCAATTATATTCCAGGCCCACCTGTATCAGAAGCTAAATTCAGTTCCTGGGATTCTGATAATTAACAGCAAGTTTCAAAGTTACTGTAAGGAGATATGACAATTGGCCAATTCAAGCAAATACAAGCAGGATGGGAGATCAGTTTGCTATTTGGCCTCCCAAAATGAAATAGTTAAATTGTGCCTCTATTTTTGTCCATTCTTACCCATACCATCCCAAACTTGGCAGAATCTGGTATGCTTTGCTGGGGGTTTTAAAAATTTACGTTTGAGAACTATATGCCTGTGGTTGCTTATTACAGCTGGTCAGTTGTTTTACTGTTAACTATGTAAAAAAGACTGTCATTAAAAAAAACTACTTAGCTAGGTTTCTCCCCTTTGTGCCACACAGATTCACCCTGGCCCAAGAGCTCCAGTGAAAACTGTCTTAGTGCCAGTTGGGCAATTCATTGTCAAATTAGGGTCTTGAAAAAAACAGGCATCAGCCACAGGAATAAGAGTTTCAGAATTATCTTTCAGCTTTTGCTTTCTGGTCTCTGAATATTTCATGCCCTTTGATTAAAGCATCTTGCATTCATAACTTACGAATCCATCGACCCTACTTCTTCACATGAAGCTTCAAATATGTGCCCTTTTCCACACTTGGTGCTTTGTCATTAACTCCCCAATGGTCAAATTCCTAACCCAGTGCTTAGAGTCCTCTCTTTCTGCCACTTGGGGATTATTTTCTGTTTTTAAGCCATCATCATTCAAGAATCCAAAAATCCTTCGTTTCTCAGCACTGGTGGGTATGTACAGCAAATTAGGCAAATATCAATTCTGGCTCACAAATATACTTACTAAAAGGTTCAGGCTTGTCATTAACTCATTTAAAGTCTTTGCCTTTCAAAGTGCTGGGACTACAGGTGTGCACCACTGCACCCTGCCATTTTAAGCTTTTCTGAGACTTGCTAGGAAAAACCTAACTCGTGTTACATTTTGTGTATTCAACATAACTGGAAACTAGTGTTCTAAAAGCCTCTGGAAAATGAGGTCAGTACATTGTGACTTTAATTTTCAATGTAATTTATTCCAAATAAACTAGCTCATGCTCATTACTTATATCTGACTAACAATCTGGTCGATTTTAAGAACTGTGGGATATGAATGGATTTGGCATTGAACTGGGCTCCCCCTACTTCCCTTGGCAACACCTTTCTGCCTGGGAATGTTTTTCCTACACCTCAATGTTGGGAAAATGCAAACAGGTTAATCCATAGTAGACACAGAAGATATGCAACGAAGTCTTCCCTGAGGGACTAGATTCATTTACACCAGTTACGAAATGGAAATCACTTGAGCTGCAGCCAGCCTACAAAGGTACACACAGCATACCGCCTAATCTCACTCCCCCAGCAGCTACTCCCCAGTCTGTGTACTGACTCTCAGTATTTTTTTTTTAGT